TAAAAAGAATAAGTCTGACATACCTTAAGACATGGACAAAATTAGAGAATATTATGCTCAATAAAGTTAATCTCAAAATATTTTATGCACCATTATTATAAAGGTAAAAAAATTGTTTTCACATAGACAAGGCAGGGCAGGGGAGAGAGGGACGGGACAGAAAAGGAAGAAGGGAAGGTAGGGGAGGAGAAAAGGGGGCGAGGAGCACCACGGACTGCTAAACGAACAAACAAACCTGTCTTGGAAGAGGTGCAACCAGAATGCTCCTCAGAAGGACGGCAAGGTGTTGGCTCTGTACTTTGGACATGTTTGAAGTCCCTTGAAAGAGACATCATGTTTGGTATAGGGGCAGCCAGAAAGAGGAGGACCCTTGACAAGATGGATTGACAGAATGGCTGCAAGAATGGATTTAACCATAGGAAGGATGGCACAAGACCGGACAGTATATTGTTCTGTTGTGTATGATGGGTTGGAACTGAATTACTGGCACCTCAAAACAACAATTCAATAGCTAATTGGAATATAGAGGTAGCCCTCAACTTGATGAACCAACATCTATTTTTGAACTACAGACAGTGTTTTAGCACATTATTTGCTGGTGTTGTCATTCTCAGCTATTTGTTCCTACATTTAAAGATCGGCTTTATAAAGCTATTGATAATAAGAGGCAGTAATAATGAAAACATTTTTTAAATGCTATTCACCTTATCGTCAGAAGGAATTATGACAGTTATTGCAACAGAATTCCTTAAGTCAGGAACTACTTGTAATTTTTTTAAAGGTCATGAAGTAATGAAATCATTGTATAGATAGTATGGAGGCAAATGCAAGCATAGCTCAGCGATATTGCAAGTTCAATTCCGGACTACTACAATAAAGTGAGTGTCATAATAAAGTTGAGGCTACTCACATGGTTTTTTAGGGTTCTCATGTATATCTGAGGGAGTTGGACTTCTTTCAACACCATCAAGTCTTGCAAGTGCTTGCTAGCTCTTACATGGCTGAACTGTTTTTTTTTGTGCACTGACTTTGTATTCCTTCTATATTCTCTGACGCTTCCAGCATGACCCTGTATTTTGCAGGTAGAATGCTTCAATATTGCAACCCAATACTGAATTTTTTCTTCATTCAGCTTGAGAAACGCTGAGTATGTTCTTTGGTTTTCTAACTCCTGGTCTTTGAACATTTCATTATGATATTTTATTTTGCCTTGTCAAGCTGCTTGGGGATTTTCTGTTCATCATTTCTTCTATTTGCTATAGCGACTTCATGCTGAAGAGCAAGCCTCTGACATCCACGTTGGCTCTTCTTTTCCTGTCTATGAATGATCTTTTGGTTTCTTCACATCCGATGGATTGGATGTCATCCCACAACTCATCTGTTCATTAGGGTTAAATGCTTCAAATCTGTTCTTGCGATAGTCTCTGAGTTCTGGTGGAGCAATACTTATTAGAGTTTATGTTTTGACTCTCATGACTCGTTTTACATTTCTTCAGCTTCAACCTGAATGGCACTTGAGCAATTGATGGTCTGTTTTATAGTCAGCCCCTGGCTTTCTTTTGACTGATGACATGCACTTCTCTGTTGTCTCTTTCCACAGATGCAATCAATTTGATTGTTGTGTATTCCATATGCCAGATCCATATGGATAGTCACTGTTAATGTTGTTGGAAAAAGGTTTTTGCAATGACAGAGCAATTCGTTTTGTGAAATTCTATCACGGGACACCCTCCAGCTTCATTTCTATCATCAGGGCCATGTTTCTCAACTACTGATCCTTCCTCTTTGTTTCCAGCTTTTCCATTCCAATTGCCAATTCAGACGGAAGAAGTTGGCGAAATTCTTCAGTCTTCACCATTGGTTTTAGTGAGTGGTGCATAAATTTGAATAATAGTTGTAGCAACTGGTTTTCTTTATAGGCATAGAGATACTATTATATTACACACAGCATTAGTACTTCAAGATAGATCTTGGAATGTTCTTTTTGACGATGAATGTGATGCTATTCCACTTGAATTTTGTCACTTCTAGCATAATAAACCATATGATCGTTTGATTAAAAATGGCCAATAGCAGTCCATTTCAGCTCACTAATACCTAGAACAGGGGTCCTCAAACTTTTTAAACGGGGCCAGTTCACTGTCCCTCAGACCCGTTGGAGGGCCAAACTATAGTTTAAAAAAAACTATGAACAAATTCCTATGCACACTGCATGTATCTTATTTTGAAGTAAAAAAAAGCAAATGGGGCAAAAACACCCGGAAGGCCAGATAAATGTCCTCGGTGGGCCGCATGTGGCCCGCGGGCCATAGTTTGAGGACACCTGACCTAGAATATCTTTCTGTGTGTTCATCATTCTTCATTATTAAATAATAACTGTTTCTTGAGTTAGTATGAGATATGCTTAGCATGTTCTTTTTGGTTTTCTAACTCTAGGTTTTGCATGTTCATTGTAATATTTGATTTTTTCTTCTTAAGCTGCCCTTTGAAATGTTCTGTTCAGCTCTTTAACTTCATAATTTCTAGCACCTGCCTTAGCTACTTGATGATTAACAGCAAGTTTTGGAGTCTCTTCTTTTTCTCCGCTGTCTTTAACAACCTTTGGATTTCTTCATGAGTGATCTTCTCCCACAGCTCATCGGTGGGTCCCTGTCACTTGTGTTTAATGTAGCAAATCTGTTCTTGAAATGGAAACGTTCTCAAAATTCAGGTGAGATGAACTCTCGTGGACTTGTTTTCATTTTCTTCAACTTCATCCTGAATTTCCATATAAGCGATGTGTAGTCTGTTCCACGGCCAGCCCCTGGCTTCATTTAGCTGCTGCTATTGAGCCTTATCGCCTCTTCCCACAGGTGTAGTTAAATTTCTGTGTGTTCAATCTGGAGAAATCCACATGCATTGTTGCCATTTGTGTTGTTGGAAAAAAGTATTTGCTATGAACAAAGTCGTTGGTCTTGTAAAATTCTATCCTGTGATCTCCAGCTTCGTTTCTATCACCAAGGCCATATTTTCCAACTACTGTTCCTTCCTCTTTGTCTCCAACTTTTATATTTCAGTCTCCATAATTATCCATGTAGTCTGATTGCATATTTGATCAATTTCAGACTGAAGATGTTGGTAGAATTCTTCAATTTCTTCATAATTAACTTTAGTGGTCGGTGAGTAAATTCGCCTAATAGTTGTATTGATTGGATTTCCTTGTGTGGATAGATATTATCCAGTCATAGACAGCATTGTACTTCGAGATAGATCTTGACATGTCCTTTTTGATGAAATGCAATGCCATGCCTCTTGATTGTGTCACTCCCAGCATAGTAAATCATGATTGTCTGATTCCCAATGGCCAATACCAGTGCATTTCATTTTTGATGACTTCCAATTTCCGTACAGTCATACTTCAATTACTCTACATTTTGTTTCTTGTTTTGGTTTGCAGCTATCTCTTATTTTGAGGCACACCCTCTCAGCAAATGGAGGTCCTGAAGGCCTTACTCCCACAGGCTCTACTCTACTCATACGAGTAGGTCCACTCTACTTTGAGAAGTGGGCTCCTCAGTCATATTTTGAGTGCATTCTGACCCGAGGAGTTCATCTCAGGCACTACCTCTGGCAATGTGCTGCTTCTATTCAGTAGGCCTTCAATCTTCGACAGTTTTTTATATTCTCCGTAAGGTTTTCAGCAGCGAATTCTTCTGAAGTAGACAGCCTATTCCTTCTGTGTGGTCTGTTCTTAGTCTCAAAGTTCTGCTGAAACCTGTTCACGTTGGGTGACCCTGCTGGTATTTGAAGTACCAGTGACAGGGTACTATAGTATGGCAAGCTGACAGACAAGTGGTGCTCCTTAAGTTTAGTCCTTTAGATACTTTTCATAGCTATTTTGTAAGGTTGTTTTTTCATTTCAATGATGAATTTTTGTTGTTAATATAGAGAAGTGAAAATTGATTTCTATAAATTGCCTGTGTCCCCCAGAATCTTGATAAATTTGCTTGTTGTTAGAACTGTGTTTGTAAATTCTTAGACTTCCTGCATATCATGACAATCTTTTAAATTTTTCTTTCTTACGTAATTGCGTTCACACTGTTATGTTGTTCAGCTATATTGGAAGTGAAAAGGTCTATTACTGACACAGTGATAAAATAGTTTTTCTTTTTGGCTTGATGGCTTATTGGGGAAAAGGAAGAGTTGGCAACACTGTGCTTGTCACCAAAATTGGGTTTTGGGTTTAAGAGATTGCATTGGTTCCCAACATTTAAAACATTTTGGTGACGATTCAGTAGTTGGCTTTGCAGAGCCTCCCCTTGAGCTTGTCCCTTCATTTTTGAGATGAGGTTGGCACATCAGGCTGTGGAAGGGCCTGCGGTTCTTGGCGGTGTTTCGTAACCAGCATTTGGTTGACAGCAGGGTTTTCATGGTGACACACAGAACTCTGTTTGATGTTATTTGTCCTGCCTGTATATTGCCCAGGCTTTCCCCACACCACCAAAGGAACTTTATCTTGGTAGGAGCAACAAGAATGAGCAAATTCTAGATCCTGTGTGTTGCTGCTCTTTTAAAGTTAAATGTATGATGAAACATAATAAAAGATAATTCAGCGAGAAATTCGTGTATTTCAGCCTGTGGTGAGTTGTACTTGGCTCTCCGGCCATGTATGAAACAAGGGGCCTGTGGCGTTCCCTCCCCGAAGATGTTCACTCCTGGGTAGTGGCTAGCTGGATAATGACAAAGCCTTAGTGTTATAGAAACAAATAAAGACTAATTGTTGGGCCTTGACTTGGGAGATTGTTTGCCCTGTTTTCTCTCTGGCCTATGACATCAGAAGTACTGTCTGTGGGTACACGGGCTTCCCGGTGCCTAGAACTGAAGGAAGCTGGGCTGGTTATGCCAGAACACAAGGTTCCCCAGGCTGGAAGGAAACTCATCATGCAGCTGAGCTCACTGAGGCAGCAGGGGCGTGTGGGAAGGATGTGCACACTTTGATGTCTGCATCCCTTTCTCTACAGTGACTCACCAGAGACGACACTCTTCCTTGGCCCGGATACATTCCATGACGATCGACGCACCCATCACAAAGGTGAAGCAGTTTGTGGTTGGTCTGAACCAAGCAGGGAAGCACTCACTCTGCTTATGCTTCCAGTGAGAAGAAAGGGACCTGCAGCTACAACAATCATTTCGTTGTATGGTGACACCTCTGAAGAGAAAGGGTTATGACATGAACATGTTAGCTAGTCTTAACTTAGTGTTACCCCGGGGGTGGCGAAAAACAGAAACGTGAGTGAGGGGATACAGCAGATGGTGGAAGATACGAAAAAGTAATATATAATTTGTTGAGGGTTTGGGAGGGAGGGAGAAAAAGAGTTGATACCAAGGGCTCAAGTAGAAAGATAATGTTTTGAAAATGACAATGGCAGCATATGTACAAGTTTGCTTGATATAATTGATTTATGGATTGTTATATCTGTAAGAGTCCCCAATAAAAGGATTTTATAAATAAATAAAAAGTATTAAGCTCTATTGCCAGCCTGACTCCCTGGGTAGTTTTTCCATTGTTAGGATTGTAAAATCCAAGTATTTCCCTCTCCATATTATAGGTAATTAATATTATCAATGCTGCCCAAGAAAGCAGTCCCATGCCTGTGACAGAAGCCTTAGACCGTGTGCTGGAAATTCTGCGAACCACTGAATTATATTCACCACAGTTTGGTGTTAAGGATGATGATCCTCATGCCAACGACCTCGTCGGAGGCTTAATGTGTGTAAGTATATACCACAGGCCACTGATTGCAATCAGCCTGCTCTTGTTTTATCGGATTATTTCTTTGTGGACTTAAACAGAGCTTTCTGGAACGATAACCAGTCATTGTATGCAGCGCACAGTCAAGGCCTAAATTCCTCTATTGCCCGGGTTCAGCTGCTCTCTGGCCAGAGCTGCCCATCACTTGAGAGAGACCTCATTGTGGGGAGGAGCATATGTGGGCGTCGTAGTGATGCAGTTCTCTGATTTTGCTTAGTGGTTCTATGAGCAATTGATTTAAAGGTAACTTTTAAAATTTGTAGAAATCAGAAAACAGGGAGGGTAGTATTAGATGTTACATACCAAATCACCATGTAGATACTACCCATCTCCTGCCAGGGGATGGGACACGGTTTCACTTCCAAAGGTTTTACTTAAACCTGTGGGGCCTTTCCATTGGAAAGGCTGGCTTGGGAACATGTCGTTCAAAGGAGGTGTGGTCCCATGAGCTTCTGAGGGGCCCTGACTGCCTTCTCCAGCCTGTCGAGGGCAGAGCTTTCGTGTGGTTAGACCAACTTTGTGGAGCACAGGTCATCCCGCTGCCAGAAACAAGGGGTAACTCCTCTCCCAACTCGTGTGCCATAAGAGCTCGTGATTCCATAAAAGTAGGCAGAGACCCCTTTGCCAGGATAAAGTGGTTCTCAGACTTAATGTCTCCAGTGTTTCCCAAAGTAGATGATGCCCCCTTTGGGGTGAGGAGCTGAAAAGCTGTTACCTCCACTTTGTCCTGGATTATGGACTATAGTACAAAAGCTTTTCATTGCCAGGGGTGTGCAGAGTAATTTTTTTTTCCTGGAATGGGGCAATAGACTAAATAAGTTTGGGAACTGATAGTCTAAACTGTGCCCTGGCATATTTGGCATCGAGGGGTGGTGTCCTAGAGGTGCGTGTGATTACATCTGCAGGACTAGAGAAGAGGGGCAGGGCTTGGGTGTGCTGTGGGAAGCAGTGTTGAGGTATCTTCAGCTTCTCACCTAGAATTTCTACAGTGGGGTAGAATGAGATTGAAGAGAGTTATCCCCAAGAGGCCAAAACAGCCATGAGAGAGAAGCAGAGATTCTAAGCTTTGGCATCCATTCTCAACCTTACCTCCCTGAGTTAGATGTTCCAGTGGAACCAGCCCTTCCCAGTGTCTAGATGTAGCACAGTGATATCCCCAGTGGTGGTCACAGGGCAGAGATGTGGAGAGCAGGTTGGTGCTGAGGGCAACCTATTAACTGTCGGATGAGACCAGCTGTCTTGAGGCTTCCCAAGAGAAAAGAAGAATTGTGACTTTCTTTTTTTCTTGCTTTTTATCAGGATGGTTTGAGAAGACTGTCAGGGAATGAATATATTCTTTCATCGAAGAGTAAGTATTTCCTTTTAGAACTGTTTGATCATAAAACCCCAGAAACTGCTAATGCCACAAAGCCTGTTCATTTTGTTCTCCAAATCACCTTACTTCACAGACCTTCACCAGGTCTCAAGCAGGATAATCAATCCCATCGCCCTCCAAGACATCCCACCACGGATAGCTAAAACCATGGAAAAGGAGGAATTCTGGGACTTTAATATTTTTGAACTGGAGGCTGCCACCCACAAGAGGTAAGTCCGTGTGGAGTAGCCTGCCTGCAGAGTGTTGCAGCTACACCTGCTGCTCCGAAGGCACTGAGTCCTCTGGAGAGCGGATTCACATAGAGACTTCCACTCCCAATACCAGTGTTTTCTTCCACAAAATGAGGGTCATTAAAAAAATAAATAAATGAGGGAAATACCGTATATACTCGTGTATAAGCTGAGTTTTTCAGCACATTTTTAATGCCGTTTTTGTGGTAAAATTAGGTGCCTCGGCTGTTATTCGGGTTGGCTTATACTGGAGTATATACAGTAATTTCGTCTGTAAATTGTGATATGTTGAGATACTTGTAGTTCCTTACACAGAGCCTAGAATGAAAATTTGTTAGAAATATGTATGTTCAAGAAGAGCTGCCCCTGGTCTTGGATGAGAGGCATTGCTGATGGGCCCAGGAACACTGAAAACACTATGGTCACCCCCCAATCAGGGTGATTCAAGTGAGAATGGAATTGGGATTTTAACTGGAGATTTGTCAACCCAATGGGGATGTGTGGCTGGGCACACTGAAAGGGATGTTCAGAGCACAGACTGTCTGTCCTTCAGGGTAGGGAGGCCCTGAGCCTGGCAGGTAGGAGAAGCATGCTGTGGTGGGCACACTGTCTCCACCAGTCCCTGTATTTTGCTCGCTATGAGCCCACCTCCTGATAACGCTTTGCTTCCCACACACCCATCCTGAGAAGCGGGTATTCTAGAAGGCAAACGGACCCTCTCCCACTTGGTTTACATACTGGTCTCATATGAGTCAGGTCAGGCACAGCACTTCAAGTCCTATGAACCTGATCACCTCTGGGTGGGCTTTAACAGAGCCCAGTTTCTGAACCTTTCAAGCCAAGAGCCATGCCAAAATGACTCCTCAAGTAAGGGCCCCTCACTTGGTGGCCATTTGGTCCTCAGGAATCTTTTCTTATAGGCAGAACATCTGGCCAATGGTGCAAGTCCAAAGCAGAGGGCAAAAGATGAGCCTAGTAAAATACTGATTTGGGGGAATCCACTAGTGCATGTATGAATTGAATCAGGAAGGCAGGGTGAGGCAGCCAGGTCTCTTGGTGCATCTTGGACCACTGCTGGCAGGAAGGGGGTCCCACCGGGGTTGGCTTTAGCTAAGAGGAGAAAGAGCAGCAGAGGCTAGGCTGCCCCCACTTGCTTACTTGTGCTCTCTGAAGCCCACCTCAGATTTGTGACTTGATCTGAGCCTCTTGAGTATCAGAATGCTTTGTTTCTTGCTATATTTTAATGTGGTGGGGGTTTGGGGTATTTTTTTTCTCTGCAGGCCTTTAATTTACCTAGGCCTCAAAATATTTTCTCGCTTTGGAATCTGTGAATTCTTAAACTGCTCTGAATCAACACTCCGATCCTGGTTACAAATTATTGAAAGCAATTATCATTCTTATAACCCCTACCACAACTCTACACATGCCGCTGATGTACTGCATGCGACAGCCTATTTCCTGTCCAAAGAGAGGATCAAGGTGAGCTGGTGTTTGTGTCCCACAGCTAACAGGTAGGAGCAGGCGGGGTGGGGCGGGGGTGGGGTGGGATGGAGGGTATCTCTTGCTTCTGCCTCCAACAAGGTTGTAGGATTGAGACGGCTCACTCCTGGCCTCGTGAGGTCAGTCAGTAGCTGCAATGTGGCTGTGGAGAAGTACTATATTCATTCCTGACGTGACCTCACCCCCATCGTGGAAGTACAAGTTGAAGGTCTGGGTCCCCAGGCAGAATGCCAGCAAGAGCAGGGTCAGGATGGAGCTGTTCTTCTGGGCTTCTCGCTGCAAGGCCACAGCATAGCATAAATATTGCTGCTAAAGAAGCCCTCAGAGGTCAAGTCATTGCCCCAGCTCTCCTCTCACGCCTAGTCGCCTGCCTGATGCAGACACCCAAGCCAGTTTGGCTGATCAGCTAATCTCACCAATTGCAACACTTAGAATGGCCTTGTGGCTGTCCTAGTGAACATCCTTTCCAGAGACCCAACTGGCCTGCCTCTGTGAAGCCAGTCACACTGCTGCCAGTGTGATTTTCCGCAACAGCAAATCTGCCTCTCACTTCTGCAGGGTTTCAACTTTGCAACTCCACAGGACGGTGGCATTTAGTGCTCACTCTGTTCACGCCACCCCCTCCCTGCACCCCAACTGGGTCAGACCGAACCACTTGGGTTTCTGAAGATTCTGCCCTTCACATCTCGACCTGTCCCATCTGGAATCCACATCTGCCCCACTTAGGCGTCTCTGTGCTCCCCGCTGCTTGACTGGCCTGCCCCTTCTGTTTGACACCAGGCTCCCGTTTTACCTCCGTATCTGCTGTTCCCTCCACCATGAGCCTCACAGAAGGTTCCGAACGATCAGTGTTACTCACTGCGCAGGCCAAGCCTGTGTGGTAACTTCTTTTTGTGGGGAATTCTGCTAAAGTACTAGTGGGTGGTTTTTTCTCCCCCAAATCCAGGAAGCTCCCATGACATGTCTCTTTTAGAAATACTTGGGAGATTAAGAACCAAATCGCTGACTTTGTTTTAAGAAAACAGAGCCCGTGAGGGGAAGAGAGAAAGGCCCCAGTTACGGATGTGCTGGCGCCCGGTGCAGGCCCCATGGTAGCATTTCCTGATTGGTACCATGTGACGAGCACATGGAAGGGAACAAAGAGACAGGACAGCACCAGCGAGTCAAGTCAAACGTCCTCAGGCCAAGACCAGCCCAGAGGTAGAATGCGGATCTAGAGAGAGGCTTGTTTTCTAAGTTGTGGAGCAAGTAGCGGGAGAGAGCGATGTCTGTGTCAGCATGACTCGGCATGTCCTGTTGCTTGGCAATGCATTGCTTTTCTTAGACAAGGTAGTCAGTCCTCTCGGCAGCTCTGTCTCAAACGCCAGCTTTCTGAATACATAATTTGCACGGTTGATCTATGAGACACCCTTTTTTCAAGAGTGTAATTCCCTAAAATGCTTACAACTTTTTCCCGTAAACCTGGTGAACGGTCCTAAAAGCTGCCATACTTTCTGTAAGTAGTTTGGTGAGCACCAGCCCCACAGAGTGACACGGTACAAGACGGGCAAAGATTGTCTGTCTGCCCAGGAAGAGCGACAATATGACAGGAGGCAGAGTGGCCATGTGGGCAGACTAAGCCCGTATTCCGGAAGAAGGCTAAGACTATAAAGAAGATTGTGTTGAACCCAACTGCAGCTCTAAGAGAATGTTGGCTATTAAGAGTTGCAAGCATTTTGAACTGGGAGGAGATGAGAAAGAGAAAGGGCAGGTGATCCAGTTCTAAGTTTCATCATGGCTTAGTGACAGTGTTACACGCAACAACAACAAAACGCTCATAGACTGTACATACTTTCTAACAAAACAAAACTAGAATAATGATTAAATGTCAGTTGATTAAAATGAAAATATTCTGAATAATTTGGAGATTGACAAGGATGTTAGTGGTTGCCTTTCGGTCAGCTCCAGCTCACAGCAGCCCATATGAATGGATCACTGCCTGCTCCATCCTCTTGATGACTGATAGAGCAACAGAAAAAATAAATGCCTAGCTATCAAAACTTCCAGAATTAAGCTTGCTTCAATCATATTTAAAGGTACATATTCATAACTCCAACCACCCAGCTGTCAGTTTTTTTACTGTGGTGACTTGCATGTTGCTAAAAACTCTGCTCACTGGTATTTCAGATACCAGCAGGGTCACTCATGGTGGACAGGTCGCAGCCGGGCTTACAGACTAGGAAAAAAGGCCTGGCAATCTACTTCAAAAATTAAGCAATGAGACCATGTGGATCAAATGAGAATGGTGTTAGATAGAGCCTCCTGGGTTTGAAGGCACTCAGAATCCACAGTGAGTGCAGCACGGGGTGTGAAGGTCCCACAGCGATAGTAAGCAAGGGCGGCACGGGAGAAAGCAACATGTTTGTGCTGTTGCACAGGGAGTTAACAGTTGGAGCTGCAACTGACACAAATAATCCATCACTCTAATGTTACCTTTACTGAAAGGGAGTGGGGGAAATGGTTCTAGCCACGCTAATCAAGAAATAGAGCCCCCAAGTAGAAAGAAAGTGTTTTGAAAATGACGATGCCAACATACGTACAAATGTGCTTGATACAGTTGATGTATGGGTTGTTATCAGAACTGTCATCGCCCCAATAAAATTATTTTTTTAAAGGAAATAGCACCCCAATTTTGAAATGGAAGAGGTTAGAAGAAAGCACAGTACACATCTGTGTTACTTTACATGGATTGTATTCTTTGATAGCGATCGACCTTTTAAACGCTCAACTAATTTCTTTATAACCTAGTTCCTGACCCAGATGGTCGGGAGTTCTTAAGACCTTTAAGGAATTTTCCATGCTACATCAGCTCTTTCAGAGCCTAAAAAAGATAATTTAAAAATCATTTGGCCAAAGCCCTGATATCAGCTTGTCAGAGATAGCAACTGAAAGGGGAAGACACTTGACCAGTCCCCAACCTACATGATGCCGATTTTAAACTGTGGTTCCTCCGCTCTTACTCAGTCTTGACTGAGTGCTGTTATGCAAGTTTATGTTGGTCTAACATCTCAGACTTTGTCATGGGTCTAGACTGGCAAAGGAAGTGACTCATATCTGTTGAGGACACCCTGTAGGGAGAGGATTTTAAAAGTAGCTCATGAAAAAATACCATTATTGTTTTTTTAAATTATTTTATTGGGGCTCTTACAACTCTTACCACAATCCATCCATCCATGTGTCAAGCACATTTGTACATATGTTGCCCTCATCATTTTCAGAGCATTCCATTATCTTTTCATTCCATTTTCCACAAAATTTTTGAGGCTCCCGCATTATTTTGCTAAGTCATTGACTCTAAAAATCAAGTCATGTTCTCTTGACTCAACTTGGAGGCTGAGAATAGCAAAATAGGTTTTGTTCACACAGTATGTTTTTCTTGGCTTTCTTGCCTTCAGAGCCATCCAGATTTTGAACAGATTTCTTGTTTTCAGCAAACTTTAGATCCAGTTGACGAAGTCGCTGCCCTGCTTGCAGCCACCATCCATGATGTGGATCACCCTGGGAGAACCAACTCTTTCTTGTGTAACGCCGGGAGCAAGCTGGCCATTTTGTATAATGACGTTGCTGTCCTGGAGAATCACCATGCAGCCTTGGGTTTCCAGCTGACCATTCAAGATGATAAATGCAATATCTTTAAAAACATGGAGAAGTAAGAACAGTAACTAACTAGGAAAGTTTGTTCATGTTGGTCTGCTCTCCAACAGCTTTGAGATGTAACAGTGTACACGAGCTTCTAGTATATTCGGAGCGTTCAACCGCCATCACCCCAAGCCCGTGTAGCCATCACTCTCCACTTCCCCTTAGTCCCAGGCAACCGCTGGTCTAGTGCGTGTCTCTGGGTTTGCTAGTTCTGGAGGGCATCTCAAGGTGCCCTCCTTTTATCACTTGATATTTCAAGAAGATGGCGCATAAAGCCGACATCTTGAGCTTGTAGAGGCTCAGAGGAATAATCATGTTACCTTGTTGCCCTCCTTTGCCCAGTGACCTGGTCTCTGTTTACATCTCACTTCCTCAGGGAAGCTTTCCCTGATCCACCACACTGAGTTAAACACCCCCCCCCACCCCACCCCCGTTTACTCAGGCCCAAATTCTTTCATGGCACTTGCTACGTTTCTACTGTGCCAAACGTCAATAATTGTTTAATGCCTGATGAGATTTAAGCTCTGTTAGGGCGCAGGTGTCATGTCTTAATCATCACTCTCACTGCCTACCATAGTGCCTGGTACATAGTAGAGCCTGAACAAATATGAGTTAGAAGTAGGGGAAAACATTCTGACATGAGGAATATTTGTTGATTTATGGGCTTTTTTTTTTTAAGGGGAAATTCCTGCTTTTACAAAACCCCCTTCTGTCATCTCAGATTTTAGTTCTGGAATTACAATGGTATTATCTGTATTTGTCTGTACAG